AGCCATATGTGATTGATACACACCTCTAAATCCCAGCATTTGAGAGGATGAGGGGAGAGGATCTAGAGTGTGAGGCCAGCCTGGGGATGAGACACTCAAAAACAAAATAAAACCCAATTGATTTTTTTTTAACAGAGTCTTACTGTATATAACGTTGGTTGACCTGGAACTCACTATGTAGACCAGGCTGGCCTTGAACTCAGAGAGATCCGCCTGCCTCAGCATCCTGAGTGTTGGGATTACTGGCCTCTGTGTCCGTGCCTGTACAAGCTCTTTAGACACTTCACACCCCTTCCCTTCCATCATTACCTATGCTGGGCTCTCCTGCAGGACTTGTGAGAGTCTTGAATGTGTTCCCATGTGTTAAGAGTGTCCAAAAGTACTTTGCTCAGTGGACACTCAAAAGACTGGGACCTGTCTCACGAAACCTGTCAGTTAAACAGTCCCCTCTGTGTCCCCCTGACTACGGATGCCCAGACCTGTCCATCTTGGACTGATCTGGGAAACTGCCGAACCACTTCCTGCCCAGAGAAGGCCCCTCTGACACACCCCAGATCTGAGCCTAGGTCTCCATTGTCTCCAGATGCTCCTGAGGTGTCTATCTCTGGCTATGATGACAACTGGTACCTTGGCCGCACTGATGTGGCCCTGATCTGTGACGTGCGCAGTAACCCAGAGCCCACGGACTACGACTGGAGCACGTGAGTGACAGGATCTGGGGCGGGGTCTGGACCCCTGGGTCTGAAGGAGGAGGGCAGGGTCTGGACCCCTGGGTCTGAAGGAGGAGGGCAGGGTCTGGATCCCTGGGTCTGAAGGAGGAGGGCAGGGTCTGGACCCCTGGGTCTGAGGGAGGAGGGCAGGATCTGGACCCCTGGGTCTGAGGGAGGAGGGCAGGGTCTGGACCCCTGGTCTGAGGGAGGAGGGAATACAGGAACACTAAAAGATGGAAAGGACCACTCCACACTCCAGTAAAATTTCCATCTTGTGACTGGGGTTTTCTGAGGTGATCTGACCTTGGCCCTGACCACACCCATTGTCCACGTTGCCTGCTCTGTGGGGAGATCTGCCCCCACTCCCTGGGATTTTTGTATTTAGCTCCCCTGCCCTGTGCAAGTTCCTGAAAGGCTAGGGCAAGAGTTTAGTACCAGCAAGCCCCTGGGTGACTCCTCACAGGACAAAACCAAAGCTAAGATGAATTAATCTAGTCTGTGTTTGGCTTCCCACCCAATCACTAAGTTCCTGCCTGTGCTACCTCCCCGTCCCTTCCAGAAACCTCCCAGTCACCCCATTGCACAGATGAGAACATTGAGACTCAGTGGATGTGGTGGCTCATGCCTTTAATCCCAGCACTCAAGAGGCAGAAGCAGATGAATCTCTGTGAGATGGAGGCCAGCCTGGTCTACATAGCAAGTTCCAGGCTAGCTTTTGGCCTCCGCATTCCAGTATACACATCACACCTGCCCAAATGGATAAATAATTTTACAAAGTTTTTATTAAGCTTATTCCTTTATTTCAAAAATAACTTATAGCTGTCAGTTGTAGAACTTTCAAACAGTGAAGTTGAAGCAAAAAAGAAACATATAGCCAGTCCCCTCTAGAATGACTCACTGTGGCCTTTAGGTATTCATCCCTTCTGACTTTTTTTCTCTGATTCTGAACAATTCTAATCCTGTTCCGTGTTCACTTTTCATGTCTTTCCCTGTTCTTGCAAGCATATAAAAGTGTACAGTTTCACAACCCTGTTTTCTCCAAAATCTTAATAGGGAAAATTTTAAACATACACAAAAGTCACAGGAATTTTTCAGTGAACACTTAAAAAAAAATCCACTATACAGATTCTACTAATATTTCATTGCAATTTTTTGCAGTGGTGAGGTAAGGGGCACATGCCATGTGCCCATGTGGAGGTCAGAGAACAATTTGAAGGAGTTGGTGCACTCTTTCCACTATCCACTTGGGAATTGAACTCAGGTCATCAGGCTTGACAGCAAGCCCCTTCTTTGCTGAACCTTATCACTGGCCCCTTTGGGGACTTTTTTGTGGGTAGTGTTCTTGTTTTTGGGGACTCTCCCCATAGTTCCAGCTTGCCTGGAACTCACTATGTAGACCATATTGGCCTTGATCTCACAGAGGTCCTCTTGCCTCTGCCTCTTGCGTACTGGGGTTAAAGGTGTGTGCTACCATACCTAGCTCCTTTTGGGGGTTTTGGAGACAGAGTCTCATTATGTTGACTGGGCTGACCTGGAACTGATCTTTCTGCCTCAGACTTGTGTTTGCTAAGATTACAGGCATGTGCCACCACACATCGCCCATATTTTAGTGTTGTTGGGATTCTATGTGTGTCACTAGTCCTGTTTAACTGGTCCATAGTGTGAGCTACAGGGATCAGTTTATTTCTCAACATGCCAATACACCACGGTGTTAACCAGATACATCGTCTGGTCTCTGGAAAGTGATTTTCGAGTTGTCAGTGGAAGAAATTGACATCAAAGATTTGGCCCCATTAGGACTGGGGGCGTAGCTCAGTGTAGAACACCTGCATAGAATCCACCATTGAGGGGCTGGGGATGTGGTTCAGTGAGGATTGTCTAGCATGGGCTAGGACCTGGTTTCTGTCTCCAATCACCCCACACACACACACCAAAAAATTAAAAGCCAGGGCATGGTGCCACTGGCCTGTCATCTCAGTACCTGAGGGTTCAAATCAGGAGGATTACCAGTTCCACACCAACCTTGCTTGCCTACCAAGACCCTGTCTCAAAAACACCACCAAAAAAAAAAAAAAAGGACCACCAAACAAACCTAGGAAGATTGGCCTTGCTCTGGGCTGCCTCAAGGCACCACAGCTTAGACTGTGGACCAGATGGATGGATGCACTTCCATCTCACCTCTGCAGAGAGCTCAGAACTCCACACATCTACCTCCTCTACCTCCCTGCACTAACACCAAGTACTGGATACGTTCTGGGGCTTGGTACCATCAGCCAACGCAGCTTGGTGTACAGAGGAGACAAACCCTTGAGGTCAATGTGTAGCAAATATTCTAGTGGGGCAGAGAAACTAAGCAAGGTAAAATTGTAACGAATGTCAGAGAAATGCTGAGAAAGAATAAAGGCAGGTGGGGGTTGGGGAGAGGAGAAGGAAAAGAGCTGGACTGTTGTAGTAGAAACAGGGTGGTCACCAAGACACCATCTGAACAGAGAAATCTGAAGGAGGCAAGGGTGAACTCTTCCTGCACCTGCAAGAAAAGCATTGTAGGCTGGGGGAACAGCATATGCAAACATGTTTCTGTCCATCTGTGCTGCATGTGCAGATGGCCTGAAGATGGGTTTACTCTGAGTGAGTTTACTCTGGTTTACTCCGAGTGAGGCAGGGCCAGGGAGCCATCTGAGCTGACCTGGGATCGCGCGCCCTCTGGTGGCTGTGTGGGAAACAGGCTTGAAAGGAAAACTGGCCCGAGGGAGTTTGTGTCCCTGCCACATCCTGGGTGCTCCCTTGGTCACTCTAGCCTCCTGAAGAATCTGCCTCCTCACCCATCTGTCCTTCCCAGGATCACAGGTGCACTGCCCCTCAACGCTAAACCGCAAGGCAACAAGCTCTGTATATCCGAGGTGGACAGTTCCACCAACACCACTTTCATCTGCCATGTCACTAACGCCGTCGGGTCCAACGAGGGTGAGGTGACCATCCGAGTTACAGGTGAGACATCCTCCAACCAGGGAGGGGAGGGACAGCAGGGTGGCATCAGGAGTGGGAGCTGGGTGTGGTAACTATGGAAGGACCTGGGGTACAGCCTGTCACAGGCTTGTGTGGTAATGAAACACCTCCTCCCTGGGTACTCAGGAAAGCCTTTCCAAGAGGCTGAGTAGAGCTCTATCAGTTACAGTGGAGAGAAACGTGACAAAAAATAAAAATAAAATAAAGGCACAGGCTGATGAGATGGCTCCCACTGTAGCTCTGGTTCCAGGGTATCTGACTCTTCTGGCCTTACAAAGGCATTGCATGGCACGGGTGCACTTACACCCATGCAGGCAATACACTCACTCACATAAAATAAAAATAAACTATTAAAAAACAAACAAACAAACAAAAAAAGTACTTTCAATAGCTCTAGTCAGAGTCCCAGGGCTAGCTCTCATTGGCCCCATGTGGGCCACGCTCACCTCTGAACCCATCACAGCAACCAGGGAGAATGGGATGATCTGATTGACCAGGCCTGAGCCAAAAGTTTCAACCTAAACCCTCAGATGGTGGTCCAAGCCTGCAATCCCAGCACCTGGAGTTCTGATGCAGCAGGACCAATAGTTACAGGCCAGGATCAAGGACAGAGCTCAGTGGGCGCAGCTCTTTGCCTAGCAAGCACAAGCACTGCGTACACCAGGTGTGGTGATGCACACCTGTAATCTCAGCACTCAAGAGACAGAGGTGGAAGGAATAAGCGTTCAAGGTCATCCCAGGCTACAGAGTTAAGTTTGAGGCCAGCCTGGGCTACAAGAGACCCTGTCTCCTGAAAAAAAAATAGTCCCACCCTAGGAATCCTAAAATGTGGTCAAGCCCACCAGAACACAATGGATTGAGGGAGGTGGGGCTTGCAACAGGAAATTTGGGGTGCTGTTTCAAGGTCGGGGGGGTTGAAAACAAGACAGGTGAAATGCAGGCAGTGTCCTTACCTGTTTATTTGCCCCTCCTCCTCCAGAGAGCCCTAAGAGTGCAGAGTCAGGCACAGAGCTGAGCAGCACTGTCTTCATCGCCATCGTCGCCATCGTCGTTGTTCTTGGGATTCTGCTAGTGCTTGTTGTGCCCCTGGGTGTCTTTCTGTATCGCAGACGCAGAAAGTCTATCAGGCATCGTGGTGAGTCCCTTCCTTCCTGTCGCACTCCCCACCTGCCGGCCGATGGGGCCACTGGAAAGGAGACCCCGCTGCGCACAGCCTCAGTCCTAAGCCCTCTGGAGGCCTGTCTGTTTAGTACCATGGAGATCCCCACTGTGCAGATGAGGAATCAAAACCAGGAAGTCTTAGTCATTAGTTCATTGTGTATTGCCTGTTGTTGTTTTTGAACCCAGGGCTTTGTGTCTGCTACGCAACCACGCTCCCAGCCCCCACTGGAGGATTCTAGGCAGATGCTCTACCACTGAGCCACGTCCCTAGCCCCTCAGTTTCCGTAGACCTCACTCTTTAGTACAAGCTCCGAATGTCACTCTAGCCTGCACAAGGAGTCACTGTGGCGAGGAGGCCTGTTCTCAGGTCCTCAGCACAGAAGTGAAGCCAAGGGGGGTAAGCTGGGTGTGATGGTGCACTCCTGTGGCCCCAGTCCTTTGGAGTCTGAGGCTGGCCTTGATTACAGAGTGAGACTTTGTCTCTAAAAAAACAATGAGAGCAAGCCGGGGTAGTGGCCCACACCTTTAATCCCAGCACTCGGGAGACAGAGGTATGCAGATCTATGTGAGTTCAAGGCCAGCCTGGTCTACACAGTGAGTTCCAGGCCAGCTGGGGCTACAAGGAGACCCTGTCACAAAAAGAGCCCCCCTCAAAAAATAATGGGAGCTGGAGAGATTGCTCAGTGGTTAAGAGCACTGGCTGCTCTTGCAGAGGACCCAGGTTCAGTTCCCAGCATCCACATGGCAGCTAACAACTGTTCTATAACTCCAGTCCCAGGGGATTTGATATCCTCTCCTGACCTCTGCAGGTACTGTATGACATGGGTGCACTTACCTACATGCAAGCAATATACTCATACAGATGAAATAAAAATATAAATTAAAAAAAACATTTTTTTAAAAATGGAAGAGACCTGAGTAGTGGTGCATGACTTTAATCCCAGCGCTTGGGAGGCAGAGGCAGGTAGATCTCTCTGAGATCTGGGCCAGCCTGGTCTACATAGTGAGTTCCAGGCCAGCTAGAGCTACAGATAGACCCTGTCTCAAAAATAATATAGTAATATATTAATAATATTATTATAATTAAATATTAATAATAATATAACAATAAATAAGTTCAAGGTCATCCTCGGCTACATGGTGAGACCAGCCTGGGCTACTTACGATGCTATCTCGACAAACAAAACAACAACAAAAAATAGGGCTGGAGAGGTTGCTCAGTGAGTAGAGGCTTGCTGAGTTCCACCCCCCGCACCGCATAAAGCAGGTGGTGTATACCATGTTTGTGACCCCAGAACTTTGGAGGTAAAGGCAAGAGAACTGGGATTTCAAAGGTATCCTTGGCTACAAAGCAGGTTCAAGGCCAGGCTGGGACACATGAGGCCCTGTCTCAGAGAGAGAGACAGACACAGATGGAGAGGAGAGGGAGGGACAGGGTCCCAGTATCTCCTTCAAGGATGCACCCCCAATGACCTTTCTCCCACTAGGCTCCACCCCCTACAGGTTCCAGGACCTCCTGACAATTTGGTGCTGAACCCAAGCCTTTAATACTTGAGCCTTTGGATGACATTCAAGATCCAAACTCTAAGCTGGGTGTGGTGGTGCACACCTATCACCCCAGCACCCGGGAGTCAGAGGCAGGAAGATTGTGAATTTGCGGTCAGCCCGGGCTACACAGTGAGACCCCTGCCTTATTGAGTGTGTTTCCATGGGCAAATGGTTTCCTCTCCATAGCTCAGTTTCCTCAGAATAAAAAGGGTGTAAGAGACTGGAGAGATGGCTCAGTGGTGAAGAGCACTGGCTGCTCTTCCAGAGGACCCAGTTCAGTTCCCAGCACCCACTAATAACTGTCCGTAACTCCAGTTCCAGGGGATCCCACGCCCTCTTCTGGCCTCCACAGACATTACACTACACAGGTACACTTGTATCCATGCAGGCAAAGCACGCATATGTGTGGAATAAAAATAAGTAAGTAGGGGCTGGGGAGATGGCTCAGTGGTTAAGAGCACTGACTGCTCTTACAGAGGACCCGGGTTAGATTCCCAGCACCCACATGGCGGCTACGAACCGTCCTTGACTCCATTTCCAGGGGAATCCGAAGCCCTCTTCTGATCTCTGTGGCATTCCACAAAGGTAGAATGCCACCGAGAAACTTCAACCCTTAAGCAATTATTTTTTTAAGATTTATTTATTTTTATTTTCTGTGTAGGAGTGTATTGCTTACATGTATGTAAGTGCATTGAGTCATGCAGTGCCTGTGGAGGTCAGAAGAGGATGTCAGATCCCCTGGAACTGGAATTAATATAGTTGTTAGCTGCCATGTGGGTGTTGGAAACTGAACCCAGGTCTTCTGCAGGAGCAGCCAGTGCTTTTAACCACTGAGCTATCTCTCCAGCCACAAATTTTTCATTTTTTAAGACAAGGTCTCACCACACCCAGGTGATCCTCTTACCTCAGACTCTTGGGTGCCAGGATGACAGACCTGTGCCACCATTTCCAGCTTATAAGTATTTATAAATGGGACTGGAGAGGTGGCTCAGTATTTAAGAGCACTGGCTACTCTTGCAGACAACCTGGGATCAATTCCCAGTACCCACATCAGGCGACTCATAACTACTTGCAACTGAAGGTCTAGGGAATCTGCTGCCCTCTTCTGACTTTGATGAACATCTGCACGCAACTGCACATATATACAGACACACATACACATAATTAAAGATAAGTAAATCTTTAAAAAATTATTGGTATTTAATAGCCAAACGAATGCATAGATGAACAACTCCTTAACCAGTACATGCACCAGCCATTTTATTTTATTTTTGTTGTTTTCTTGACACAGGGTTTTGTATAGCCCAGGCTAGCCTCAAATTCTATATGTAGCGAAGGATGACCTTGAACTCTGATCCTCCTGTCTATACCTCCCAAGTGTGGGGATCACAGGTGTGTGCCACTGTGCCCGGCTCTATTCCAAGCCCCTTCTTTTTATATCTTATTTTAATTTTATTTATTTATTTATTTATTTATTTATTTATTTATTGGTTTCTTGACAGGATCTTCCTGTAACCCCAGCTGGCCTGGAACTCACTGTGTACACCAGACTGACCTCAGTCTCACAGAGATCCACTCACCTCTGCCTCCTGAGTGCTGAAACTAAAGGCGTGGCCACCACACCCAACTTATTTTAATTATGTGTACATGTGTGTGGGTATGGGCACATGTGTGCAGATGCCCCCAGAGGCCAGAAGGGGGTGTGTTGGATCTCCTGGAGCTGGAGTTATGGGTGCTGGGGACTGAACTCAGGTCCTCCTGAAGAGCAGCAAATGCTCTTAACTGCTGAGCTGTCTATCCGGTCTCTTTTCCAGCCCTTTTGGACAAATGTCTACACAATTAAGGGAATTGACACCCTGCCTCAATGGCAGAGCTTAGACAGTATTTGGATTTCCGAGGCCTGACCACCGTGTGCATCCTCTTCCTATGATTCCCAGTGTCCTTCTGACAAATTCTCTTTTTGTTTCACTAGGTGGGCAGCAGCAACCCCAGCCCTCAGAGAACAGGGTGAGTGCAGAGGCAGAAGGGAGGAAGATGAAGGGGTCTGAGGGGACCACAGACTCATTTCTGGGTCTTTTTCAAGGAGGGGGACAGACATCTGCAGATACCCCCAGTGTGGTGTCAGGAGCCTGGGTTTTCCCAGGCCCCAGACTAGGTGCTTCAGGGAGTGGTGGAAACTTTAGGAAGCAGGGCTTTCTGGGAGGAGGGTAGGACTTTGAGGGTGTGTCTTAGAGGGCAGCTGTTTGAACACTGCACTTCAACAGGAAGAGTCTTCTTTGAAAGGGGCTCTGACTAAAGTTTGCTGTTTGATGTCCCCCCATCCAGGCTGTCCTGTATTTACCTGTGGAGAACCAATCCGCTCCCTAGCTGGGGTGCTGGGGTGTGCGAAGAGACAGAACTGGGAAGCTCAAGGACTCGACAGCTGAACCCCACCCAGATGGATAAAGACACTTCCAGAGAGACAGGGCATCCATGGGGGGCGAGCCTCTCAAGTTTGGTGTTCTCCCAGAACCCCCATGTGTTCTACCATGTCAAGAAAGACTTACGGAAGGCATGGTGGCTCACACCTGACATACCAGTGCTCAAGAGGCAGCCACAGGAAGATGGCTGCAAGTTTAAGTCTAGCCTCTGCTACAAAGTGAAATCTGTCTAAACAAACAAGCAAGCAGTCAGATGACATCAGCAGCCTGTAACATTAAGATGAATTCTTTCTTTGGGCAAGATAAATCGTCTACCTCATACTGGACTGAGTAGAATGTTCTAGCTAGCTGTCAAAAGTTTCCAGCCTCTGAGATTCAACTTCAGAAATCTCAGTACCAATTGATTGGTTAGGTCACTCTTTTTTTGTATAAAGAAAGGTATAGACTTATATAAGGTATATAGTTTTATATTTTTTGAGACAGAATTGCATGTAGCCCAGGCTAGCCTCAAACTTTTGATGTAGCCAAGGATGGCTTTAAACTTCTTTTTTTTATTAAAAAAAAGGGGGGGGGGGTTCCATGTAGCTCCAGCTGGCCTGGAACTCATTATGTAGTCCAGGCTGGCCTCAATCTCACAGATATCTGCCTGCCTCTTTCTCACCCAGCAACCTTAACCTTCTTTATTTTTTAATTTATTTTAATTTATTTGTTTTCCACTTCTAACACACCCCTGACTCCCCCTCCCTTTCCTCTCCCTGCCTCCTCTCAGCCCCTTTTATCCCCCTTGACAGTTTTAATTTGATTTTTACATCATAAATCCATACATCATTTTATATATCTATATAAAATCCAGAAACCACAAATGAAGGAAAAAATCTATGGTGTTTGTCTTGCTGAGACTGATTCAATTCACTTTTTTGACTCTGCCCCGTTGCTTCCAGTTTCCTGCAAAGGACATAATTTCATTCTTCATTATGGCCAAAAAGACCTCTGCTATGTATATTTGCCACATTTTCTTTCCCCACTCCTCCGTTCTTGGGCATCTGGGTTAGTTCCATAAATCAGCTGTTGTGAATAGCACTATACACATGAATACTGACTGGCTCATATATTAGATTTATGGGTAGCTTTTTCTGGAAACTTCTGTACTGACTCCACAGTGATTGAACTAGTTTACATTCCCATCATGAGTATACAAAGGCTCTCCCTTCTCCACATCCTCCCCAATGTTTGGTTAGTTGGTTTGTTTTGAGACAAGGTCTCCTTATAGCCCTGGCTGGCTTAGAACTTGCTATGTAGACCAGGCTGGCCTGGAACTCACAGAGATCCACCTGCTTCTGCATTCCAAGTGCTGGAATTAAGGATGTGCATGACTATGCCCAGCCTCTTATTTGGTTTCTTTTTTAATTTTTTTAATTTTTAATTTAATTTTTAAATATTTTATTTTCATTTTACATATATGAGTGTATTGCCTGCATGTGTTTAAGTGCATCCATGTCACACAATGACCACGGAGGTCAGAAGAGGGTGCTGGATCCCCTAGAATGAGTTATGAATCGCTGTGGGTGCTGGGAATCGAGCCTGGGTCCTTTGCAAGAGCAGCCAGTACTTTTAACCACTGAGCCATCTCTCCAGCCCCTTAGTTTCTTAATGCCTGCTAGTGAGGTTGGACAGTTGTTATGTGGGTTATTTGGTTTGTGTGTTTGTTTAGACAGGGTCTCCCTGTAGCCCCAGATGGCCTGGAATTCACTATGTAGACCAGGCTGGCCTCCATCTCACAGAGATCCATCTGCCTCTGCCTCCCAAGGCATGTGCCAACCACAACCAGCCCAAGACTTGAACTTGTGGATGGCTGTTAGCTCCAGCACAATTTTGCCTAAGACCTGGGGCTGGGAAAAAAAAAAAAACTAAAACCTGCAGTTGGCCAGGTGGATTGACAGGATGCAACTCACTTACACAGCAAGATACTGGAGCCCCTGCAGCTGTGCAGCACCACAAGACGCAGTATTTCAAATGCAGCTGAAAAACAGACTTTATTTATTTGTTTGTTTATTTATTTATTTATTTATGAGTTTTTTGAAACAGAATCGCTCTGTAGCCCTCCACACAGGAACAGTGGCATACCCACCCCCATGCAGTCATGAACATACACACAAATACATGTAATTTAAAAGTAAAAACACACTTGCACAAACACATACACATGCACTCACTACACACACACATACACTTGTCTTAACATGTATAAAGCCCTAGATTCCCTCCCTAGCACAACAAAACTTTTTTGTTGTTGTTTTGGGGGTTTTTTGGGACAGGGTCTCCCTGTAGCCCCAGCTGGCCTGGAACTCACTATGTAGACCAGGCTGGCCTCAGTCTCACAGAACCACCTGCCTCTGCATCCCAAGTGCTGGGATTAAAGGTGTGCACCACACCTGGCCATAAGACATCTTTACAAGGCCCTATGATCCGAGAACCTGCAGAAGAAAGATCCCCAGGGAGAGGCAAGATCACAGATCAGAGAAGGGTGGGGAAAGAGGGGCTGGGGTGGGTGCAGGAGGCAGAGAAAGGGAGGGGGAGAATGGAGCACTGTGCTGAATGAATTGCACCCAGCACTTTATTAAACTCTTTGTTATACCTAAAAACTGTTTTGTGCAAGAGAATAATTTGTGGGAACTGTTATAGGACAGAGTTTGTAAAAAATCACCAACACCACTTTAAGAAAAGTAGCAAGGTAAATTTTAATTTTCGACCGGCCGGGCTGTCTATCTCAGGAGTAGAAGCAGCCCTGGTGATTGTTAAGTCAGAGTTTTTATAGGATTACAGAATTATTATTAAAACAGGACATTTGTGAACCAATCAGGTTTGTACAACATAGCAGAAAATCAGGTTTGTACAATATAGCAGAATTTTGATTCTATTAATTAACAACCAATCATTGTACAGACAAGTGATGCAATCATATAACTTGGCAGTCAACTTTGTAACATTAAAAACTAGCCCACTGTTTTAGTCATAACAAGTAAAATAAGACAGTCAAGGTAAATAACTTCTAGGTGGTCATACAATAACAGGATAACAAGGTGGTCTCATGCCCTGTGTCAGGGCGACCCAAGACAGCAAGCAGGTTATAGAAGCGAAAACAAGCTGGTTAGTGAAAATATAATATCTGGAATTATCGCATTCCATGATTCATGGCGAGGGCAATTTTCCAAGGCCCAGGGTTGCCCCCCTTTTCCTTTCGGTGTGGAGCAAAGTTGCTGCTGAAATGGCTCTGAACAAAATGGAGTAACTTAGGGAAGTTTGCTGAGCCAGTTCAGGAACCAGCAGTGTACGGACATTTGGGACACAACCAAGATGCCGGGTAGGTTCATCAAACAACATGGGAAGAGATCTCTCTCTCTCTCTCTCTCTCTCTCTCTCTCTCTCTCTCTCTCTCCTCTCTCTGTGTCTCACTCACTCACTCTCATTCTTGCTCGCTCTCTCCTTCCCTCCCTTCCTCTCCCCTTTCTGTCTCTCCAATTTTTCGCTTTCTTTTTTTGAAGAATTATTGTATTTTTATTGGGATGTATGTACATGTGAGTGCAGATGCCCCCTGAGGCCAGAAGGGGGCGTTGGATCTCCTGGAACTGGAGTAACAGGTGATTGTGAGTTGCCAGTTGGGTGCTTGGAACTGAACTCTGGTCCTCTGCAAAAGCAGCAAATGCCCTTAACTACTGAGTCATCTCCCTTGCCCCATTTCCATTTTTTAAAAAAGATTTGTTGGGCTGGAAAGATGGCTCAGCAGTTAAGAACACTGTTCCAGCAGAAGACCTGGGTTCGATTCCCAGCACCCACATGGCTGCTAACAACTGCCTGTAACTCCAGTTCCAGGGGATCTAACAGCCTCTTCTGTTCTCCGAGGACATTGCATGACACAGGTGCACTTACCTACATGCAGGCATAACACCCATACACATAAAATAAAAATAATAAAATATTTTTAAATTTTTAATAACTACATGATTAGAAGCATTTCATTACAGCTTTAACATATTCACTAACACACTCCAGAGCAAGAGTACATCTCTTTCACAAGTGGCTGTAAGT